AACTGACATTGTCGATCACTCTCTTATTTTCACTGTGTTTTGTGAAAGATTGAAGAGAAGCACCGTCAGGAGCAGGAACGTAATGATGAGGACAACAGAGGTGTGGATGTCGATCCTGCCCTGGGCAGGTGGGGAGTACCTGGTCTGTGTCCAGGCACTGATCTGAGAGCCCCTCCAGAGACTCTGGAGCAGGTCCTCCAGTTCCAGAAAATTCAAATAGAGGAGAAAAAGGTAAAACTGCAACAAATTACACTCAAAACACACATATGCTTTTATTTAAAACAGCATCCTGTTAACTCTCTGTGCGTCTGTAGAGGATAGAATTGGAGAAGAAGCGAGAGGAGGAGCTACACGACCGTGTTCGCTTGGCCTCTGCTCGCTCTGCTCTGCTCATAGAGAGGCAGCAGGCGAAAATTAACAAGCAGATGAGACGACACCTGGAGAGCGCCAACGTCCAACTGGCCGAAACACACAGACAACAGTCAGTAACATTTAGAAAACACTTTGACTTCTTCATTTAACTCCACACAGAGCGTACTGTCTCACTGTGTCTCTAAACTTTCATTCTAAGGAAACCGGACATTGAAAGAGGACGCATCGACGACAGCTTCTTCTCTTATTTCAACACCTGCAGCCGATGATGGACGATGTGGAGAAGCACCGACAACAGTGCTACATGATAAGAACAGAATAAACTGACCCAGTCAATAAACAGCTGTTTAATTATTTAAAATTTAGTTCTCAACATTTTAATATGTCTGAAAACTTTGCTCATAATTATCTTGGCCATGCTGCAAAAATGTTAACCAGTCAGTTTAAAATAATAAAATACATTTCTTAAACATTTCTATTTGCCAATGATGGCTAAAAATCTAAATAAAGAACAAAAATTGAATATCACGTGAATGAGTATATGATGACATTAAAATGGAAAAGAATATTTTAGTGTAGAGTATTTTTTACAAGATGACAGTGCACCAGTGTAGTAGAAGAAAAGCAAAATCAAAAAGCCTAAATAGAGATTTATGTTGCTGAAATGTTTTTAATGGTCTTCCCTCTTGGAAAACTTGACCTCCTGTGAATTCTCTGGCAATATAACGTGAAGGAGTTAGTTTGCTTGATCCCTTGTTTTAGATTTCGATCTAAAACATTATCACAATAATGCAAAAAATACACAAACTACTCTGTTAATGTATCACAATAATCTCCAAGTCAAGTTCAAACGTTTAACTTGTTTAATTCTGGTCATGATGATTAAAACCTTCAAACCCTGACATGGAGCTCGTCCTCTAAGATCTACAGTGACAAGAAAATGTAAGTGAACCCTAAGAGATATCTGCAGTTGTGCTCACTGAAATCCACGATACAATGGTGAAGAGAGATCATATATCTGAACCAATGATACAGATCATTCTACTGTTCTCGTCCATATTGTCATTGTCCCAATATTTCCAGTGTAAATTGGAGATCATCTGGTGCCAGTTGGGGGCCACCCCTGGCTGTTTACTCCCCTTCAGGACAGGAGGCGCCCACCCCCACCCCCACCTCCACAACCTGAACCTTCTGTAGGAGGAGGTGTTGGAGTGTAAAGGGAGGGTAGGCCCTGATGCACCATTGCATCCCTTGCCACATTTGCATGACCTGGCACAGGCATCCCCCGCAGGGTTTCGAGCTGTGATCATGCCCGCTCCATTATTGTTTGAGAGGAGCCCAAGCCTGCCTGGCAGTAACTAGCACATCAAAGCACCTTCCGAGGCTTTAATGGTTCTCAGACACCTTTTGGGATTGGATCCTCTTTGATGGTGGTATGACCTTTTACCTTTGATGATGAAGATGCTTCTGGACTTGTACGTTTTTTTATGTTCCCTGGTGCACGATCCGCTGTGATCAGGGTTTCAAGTTGAGTGACTCAAGTTTGTGTTTCAAAATGTATGTCGTTGAATCAGCCGCAGAACGCTCTGCGAAGGCAAGTCTGCAGAGACGTCGCGACAGAGAGGCTGAAAGAAAAGAGCGGATTTTTAATGATAAACTCAGAACCATCGGAGTAAGTGGCTAAAACTCCTCAGTTCTCTGTTAAACTAGCTAAGTATGCTAATGTGTAGTCCTGATGAGAAGACGTGTGTTTATATGATCATTTCAGTTGATATTTGTGCTGCTGTGTTTGTCAGGTTGACCATGAAGCTCTGGACAAGCAGGTGAAAGAGAAGCAGAAACAAGAAGTGGCAGAAAAAGAGAAACAAAAAGCTTATGGTGAGTTAAGTTAGTTCACGTGACCTGGTTTCATTAGCGTTCATCTGTTAGTGTCATGTGACAATTTGACAAAGAGGAAACAACCGAGTTGGGGATTAGAACCTGACCGATATGGACAGAGTGGGGCCGATACCTAAGGCAATGAATGCTAGGATGTCGTCATCAAACCCATATTATAGAATTATTATTGAGGCTTGATATTTTAACTCTGCCTTTTGCATTCTGTATAATTTAAATATATAAAAATATAAAGATTTTGACATTGGCACATACCATTATGTATGTGAAAGGGTCATTTCAGACTGATGTATTGGTCGGGCTCTACAAAGAATGCAATTTGAATATAATCCTGTTTTGAGGAATTTTGATCTTAAATGTATTCATAAATTGTAAAGTTAATTTACAAAAAACGGTTATGATCTTACATAGTTAATATTCATGTTAACGATATTATTCACATCATTTTATGGTAAAAATCTTTATCTTGACTTCATTAAAACAGAATAATCTGTTCAAACTAAAACCTTCCAGACAATTTTATGTTGGTTGGTTTAGTCTGAACTGACCAATCAGTTCTGCTTAGAACAATCACACAAGTTCAACAGATTATTATTTTACTGTTATAAGGGTGACATTCTATGTAAATATTTAAACATAATGATTTGTAAAAATAACTATAAACATGAACATATAAATATTTAACTATGTCAACACAATTTTCACAAATTGATTCAAATATATCGATTAACTTAACATAAAAATCTTTCACAGTCACTTAGTGAAAACAGAATCTAGTATTAACATCTGTGTACCCACATATTACCACTTACATTCATAATCATTCATAATTTCTAATGATGCCATGTCTGTGTGTGTTTTTTTTTAAATCTCTATACATTATAGATGCTGAAGTTCTCCATAATAGCAATGTAGCTGACATTCTTCATCACAGACAAGAGAAGAAGAAGCGTGCAATGCAAATGGACCTGGTCAACTACTGGCAGCAGCACCAGCAGCCTCGGAGCCAGCAGATGTTTGACCTGAACAACACAGAAGATGCACCGATATCGCCTCCTGTCTTCGAGGGTGAAGACCTCGGTTTTGAGAACCGATTGAAGTGGCAGAGGGAGCAGTTAAGAGAGTGGCTCAACCAGCAGCAGAGCGAGCAGGCGGCCGAGAGGCACCGGCAAAGGCTAGAAGGTAGGTTTGTCTGAGCCCATAGAGGAAACACACTCTCGGCTCAAACACAGATAATATAAGCTCACTTTCTCCCTGCCCTCTGGCCTCCAGAGCAGCGAGACGATCGAATGAGATTAGAGATGGACAACAGAGCTCTGCAGCTTCAGAGCCAGGAGATGGAGAGGAGAAGAGCAGAAGCCGTTGCCACTAAAGAGTTCAATCTGGCCAAGGTAAGTAATTTAAGTCACCACTTACACCATCACTTAGACTGTTTGATGAAGTTGGTGAAACTTGTTTTGAAAACATCTTTAAACCAACAACAGAGGGCTAAAGTTTGGAAACACTCTGAGATGCACATATTTTAGCTGTTGAACAGTTGCCTACGACCTCGGGCTTCCTGAACCAGAAGAGCTGCTGTAACAAATACACAAAACTCCTTTCAGAATTCTAAATATTTTAAGTTTCCTCACTGAATATCAGAGCTAAACGCTGTTTTTTACGGAGCCCCAAAAGATTGTTTTTTTTTATCTTGTGAGCACAAGTTATTATCTTGATAGTTGTTGTGTTTTCTCACCCAGACTTGTACCAAAGTCTGGAGAAAACTCTGCTCATCGAGTGTTATTTTCATCTGGGAATGTCATACAATGAAATCCTTGTCGCTCTTGCACAGAGACACAGGATTGTCAGGAATCATTCGCTGTGCGTACTGAAGGTCGACAGGCTCAGGGGACGGAATGATTCTGTTTCAATCATAATATTTCAGAAATTAACAAACTCTTAAAAGCTTTAAACGGAACTTAGTGTTTATCTTTATTACACAAATATTAACTGTGTGTGCACAACTTATTTTTTCTTGTGCTCACAAGATAATTAGAGTATATAGTTGAGATAATTATAGTAACTTGTGTGCACAAGATTAAAATAATATAATCTGTTGGAACTTCAGGGGCTCCGTACTTATTTAACGACTAGACCTGATCCTGACAGTTCAAGCTGTCAGTAACACACTGGCACATGTACCCACTCATTAAAGTGACATAGAGCAAGAACAAATGTTCAGAGTGATGAGTGGGAATGAAAGTGGCACCTTTCTTTCTATTGCAAGTCAGTGAACACTCAAACTCATTTAGAAGCTATTAAATGTCAAAAAGTTGCATGGTTGCTTTTCACACTTACATTGTATGAGGAGTAAATCTAGATGTTTAATGACCTATATCAGCCTTTAATTAAGACCGCTGCCTTTCTGTGGTAGTGTTGTGTTAAACTGTATGAAGTTTAAACTGAGTAGTGAACTTTAACTCAACTGATATTGTCAATCACTCTCATTTTCACTGTTTGTCAAAGACTGCAGAGAAGCGCCAGCAGGAACGTAATGATGAGGACAACAGAGGTGTGGATGTCGATCCTGCCCTGGGCAGGTGGGGAGTACCTGGTCTGTGTCCAGGCACTGATCTGAGAGCCCCTCCAGAGACTCTGGAGCAGGTCCTCCAGTTCCAGAAAATTCAAATAGAGGAGAAAAAGGTAAAACGGCAACAAATTACACTCAAAACACACACATGCTTTTTATGATCATTTATTTATAAAATCAGTCTGTAAGATCCTGACATGTTTGTTCACTGTGCGTCTGTAGAGGATAGAATTGGAGAGGAAGCGCGAGGAGGAGCTACAGCATCGCAACAACTTGGCCTCTGCTCGCTCTGCTCTGCTCATAGAGAGGCAGCAGGCGAAAATGAACAAGCAGATGAGACAACAACTACAGAGCACCAACATCCAAATGGCTGAAACACACAGACAACAGTCAGTAACATTTAGAAAACACTTTGACTTCTTCATTTAACTCCACACAGAGCGTACTGTCTCACTGTGTCTCTAAACTTTCATTCTAAGGAAACCGGACATTGAAAGAGGACGCATCGACGACAGCTTCTTCTCTTATTTCAACACCTGCAGCCGATGATGGACGATGTGGAGAAGCACCCGAGCCAAGAGTAAGACCAAGACTCTTTTCCTCTGACCGTGAGTGGAACATGAGTCGATCTCAGCAGCTCAAGTTACCAAGCAAGAACACAACCACGACCCTCCGCCCAGTACTCCTCATCGAGCTCACCGTACCTTGGGGAGAAAGGGCTGAGGCCGGCTTTGACATAAGCCAAGTCCCTTTCATAAACCCATGAGAAAAAAAAACATTCACATAAAAATTGAATATAAAAAATATTGGGGGGGCTGTGTATAGCCCATCTGGTAGAGCTGCCGCCCCATGAGGCTACAAGCCTCTGCAGCAGCCCAGGGCTGATTCCAGCCTGAGACCATTTGCTACACGTCTTCCTCCATTCTCTCTGTCCTATCAAATAAAAAACACTGTCCTTTTCAGAATTATTTTCAAAGCCCACAGGATTTAACACCCATTTCAATAAACTACCTAGTACACTCGTATTCTAGGTTCACACTACACAACTGCTGATCCAACGTCTGTTTAGCTGCAACCAGGAGCTTTTGTCTGCAAATGAAGAATTGGGCTTTGTCTCGTGTAGCGTGAACTCGACATTACAAAGCAGAAGCAAACCACAAAGACAAATCAAACAGTATTCAGCAATTTGACCAGAAACATGAATCTTAAAGTGCAAAGACAAAAGTGTTGAATTAAATTCTGAATTAAACCCAAAACAACAAGATTCCCTCTGATTAAAGCAATTTCATTTATGTAGTAGAAGTTATCGCCCTCGACGCCCTGTCTTAAATCTTGATTGATTTAACTATTATTTCATATTATTTATGCTTTTCCAACTGTAAAGTGTTAAAATGTTTCACATTTGTTCCAAACACAAACCGGCACAGTTCACAGACCATTTATAACCTGAGCTAAAAGGCATTTTCCTTTCTCAAAGGATGCCTGAAATAATTTGACAATAAAAAAAGCTTAAAAAGGTTTTCTCTTATCAAAAGGAATTTTCCGAGACAAACTTATCCCATTTCCTCTGCCACAGATCCAGAGCTTTCTCCTGTTGATTTGGAGTCAAAGAACTGTACCTGGAGAAATAGACAGTGACACGTCAGAGGGCGGATTCATTGAATGAATTGTAAATGTGTTCACCACATCTCAGCCGATCCTCACCTAATAGAGTTTATTGCCAGCTGTTTGAGGGAACCTAAGTGGGACCTCAGCCCACCGAAGCCCACAAAAGCTTCGTAGAAGTCGTACGAGAGGCCGGAGGCACCGAACATGCCGGGGTCGTCAGAACTGATGACCACCGGGTGGTTCTCTGACATCAGAGCAGCTGCTGGATGGTTTCGCAAATCTTTCACCAACATCATCACCTGAATGAAGATATGATAAGACGACATTAAAATGGACAACATTTTAGTGTAGAGTTCTGTTTACAAGATGACAAGGCACCTGGTTGGAGATGGGGCAAACTTCCACAGCCACTCCTCTGTTCCTGGATATCTCTTTGGCCACTGGATGGCGTGGCAGAGCAAAACCATGGCCAATGCGTGAGGTGTTAAACAAAAGAGCATCCAACAGGTTCTGGTCGACCTCCGTGCCCTCGAGGTCTGCGTGCAGTGGAGGAAAAGTTCAAATCAAACGATGCTGAAATACATGGACTGATCTGTTACTGTATCACAATTATTTTCAATATCACGCATTTAATAAGTTTTACTCTTAAAGGAGTTCTCATAAAAGTATCTCTTAAACATGGTGATCCAAAAACTAAATCTCAGAGTAAAACATTCGAACCCTGAAATTGGAGCTTGTCCTTTTCTAAGAGGTTGTCTTAAAATGTGCTCAGATTTTAAACAAGTATATATTTGAAGTAATGACACAAATCATTGTTTTGTTCTCGTCCTTATTGACATTATTCCAAAATTCACGGCAAGTTGGAGAGAGTACGTGAGCTCCTTTCATCTGGAGTTAGCAAACCTCCAATCAATAAAAGCAGATTAAAGGTTTGTGTTGTAGCTTCTCTGAATTACAAAAAAAATAATTTTGAGTCTCTGCTATTCTCCAGTAGCACCGGCTGAAGTGAAGCATCAAGAGAAGGATCTCAAAACCGAGGAAAACTCGTGAATAACGTTGACCACTTATCAAATGCAAGACTTCCCTGACTTTTCTGTGAATCATTAATGGGTGTGTTCAATAAAGACACAATAACAGTTTGTGTTTTAGCAGTTTAAACACGTTTGTCTACATTAGCTCAAACCAAAACTCTCCAAAGGGTTCTCACTTTTTAACTTTCTTGTTTTTAAAAGTAAACGTATCTTCGATGATATTTTAAAAATTCACATTTTTCCACTGGCTTCGAAATTCATTTCTATGGTAAAAAATGAAGTACGAAGTAACTTTACATATCAAACGCTGATGACCTCACCCGTCTCTCCAGCGTGGAAAAAGAAAGGAAGCGTGACCCCCCTGTCTGTCGGCAGTGATAAGGCCTCTCTGAAGTACCACAGCGGTCTGCCCAGGTCCTCGCGGCCCACCTGCACATCCAGGGACAAAGTGAACACTTTTGTTTTCGGTGAAATGGATGTGTTGCATTTTTATCTGTTTTAGGGAGGTTGTGATTTGTTTGTCTGTATGATTACCACAAAACTTAGTGAAGGATGAGACATGGGCCGAGAAACAACCCATTCAATTTCCCTGGATCAAAATAATTCATGGATCTAGGATCTAGATTTAGGATGCTGATATCTATGAGGGTGAAATGTGGTGCAGCATGATGATTAAGGGGACTGTTGGTCCTTGGCATTGTACTGAGTCATTCTAGTTGTAAACAGTTGTGTAAATTAAAGGTACAGTGTGTAGAATTTGGTGATATCTAGTGTTGAAGTTTCATGTTGCAGCTGAACACCCCTCACCTCACCCTCTCCCTACAAACATGAAAAAGAACCTCTGGTAGCCTTTAATCGTCATTAAAACTCAAAAGGTTTTTAGTTTGTCCAGTCTGGACTAATGTAAAAAAAAAACATGGTGGCCTCTGTAGAGAGGTTCCCCTCGATGTAAATATAAAGTATTTAAATATAAAGAGTCTTTTCTGGGGTAAAGAAAACTACAATTCATACAATTTAGATGAAATGAACTGAACGTTTAGTGAAAATATCATGAGGATTATTCTACATTACATTTTCCTACCAATAGTTCCCTTTCACCTAAATCTTACACACTGGAGCTTGAAATTAAAGAGCAGTACAAACTGTGCCCACTGTTCCCTCTGCTGCTCAACACTGTTCACACTATAACTTCAGTTGCTACCCACCAGGTCAAAACCAGCCATGATGTCTGGGAAGTCTTTCTGTAGCTTCATGGCCGTCTCCACGACTCCGTTCATCCTGGAGATATTCACTCCCCTGAAGAAAACTCTGTTAGTGTGATCGGTGACCTACATCCTCTGATATCTTCTAGTGAAGTTAATTACAAATGCATCCTGAGCAGTCACCTGTGGATTGTGAAGATGATTCTCGCTCCATAGAAGTCTGGGTGGTCGTCTGTGAACTGTCTGGTGACGTCCTGGTAGGTCTTCAGAGTCCAGGCTGCGTCGTGAGTGCTGCCGTCCAGTTCGTATATCTGAGTATTCAAAAAAAGTAAAAACAATTATACTAATAGACAGGAGAATACACTGAATACTTGAAGACATGAGCTCACCTCTGGGAGTAATGCCCGTAGTTCCAAATACATGACGTTGTCCATGTAGAACTCAGTCAGGCCTTGGTAGTAATAGTCTCTGAACACGGGAGCGTACGTGACCAGACCCCACAGTGCATAGAAGCTCTGTTCAAACACGTCCCATACCACGTCCTGACTGGGGTAAGCAGTTTCTGGATCCTGATCCGTGAAGATCGTCAGGTTACGCAGGATGCTGTGGACACAAAGACACAGTTATGACCAGATTAACCTCAATGTTTATTTCTTAGCATTTCGGTGCAGATGGTCGTCTGCTCCAAAAAAAAACATCTTGCTTCACTAATGGGTTTAACGAAAATGTACAACCAATAATTGTATGCCTCTGCCAACCAGTGCAGTTACCTTGTAGATATTTCCACATAATTATTTTTGCCAGATTCATATTAGGTTTCTGTGACCTTTGACCTTTGACCACTGAAATCTAATCACTTCACCTTTGAGTCCAAGTGACAACTGATCAACGATTGAAGAAATTCATCAAGATATTTGATCACATCTTTGTTCTATCTGAAGTCTCAGCGGCACCGAAGTGTGACTCACCTGTCGTCCAGCTCTGTGGTGTTGATGGTCTTGGCCCTGAGGTTTTCCAGCAGGTTCCAGTCGGAGCAGCGCGGCAGAGGTTCGGGCCATTGGGGCGAGAAGATGAACCTGATGGAGTGTTTGTCGGTGAAGCACATGTAGCAGTGGGGCCGATAGGTTGCGTTCTTTACCAGCCACTCTGGATCAGTCATGGAGAAGTCATGGACGTGCAGAGCGCCCCCTAGTAACAGTAAATTATAGAATTATTATTATTGTAAACGACAGCTCACAAGAAAACAACCGACCCACCACTGAGACAATGGCCAAAGTGCAAGACGTGTATAAAACCTTTTCTAAACACATCGAACACTGTGACGCTGGACGGACCTTTAGGCATCTTCTGCAGTAGGCTGAAGATGGGACTGGTCCTGATGAGGTCTCGGGCCTTGAAGAAGTGCAGGGCGGGGGGGAACTCTGCTCCCAGAACCTCCCTCTGCTTCATCTTGAACAGCAGCGAATCAAGACGCTGCTCAGCATCGCTCAGCACCACCTGCCCACCCGTCTGCATAGAGGCCTCCTGCTGGATGAGGGCCTCCCGCTTTCTGGGGTCCGGGATGGAGAGGACCCCGGCCAGGTAGTGCATGACGAGGAGGCAGGCCACAGCCACGTGGGGGCGCTGTAGCTCGAATGCCATGGTCTGGAAACTGAATGTAAGAGACATTACAAACAAAACAAATGAGAAAAAGGGAAGTGAAAACAGCAGTGGTAGAAAATAAACATTTACCCTTCATCAATATTTTTTAAGGGAAGTCAATTTTATTTGTCCAGCACATTTCATACACAGAGTTACATTCAATGAGCAAAAAAAATCAGAAAACAGAGCACAAGAAAAGAGGCACAATGATACAAATGATGAATGTGAATGAAAAATATAAAATAATACAATAAGTGAAACAAATAAAAGTTTTCTAGCTGTTTGTTCACTGTTGTGTTTACATGAAGTTTGTGTCTTTCTAACAGCTCGATGTCTGATTTCAGTAAAAAACGTTGAACTCCTTTTAACCACGAACAAAATAAAAAACACTTGGACAAGACAAAGACTGATAAATAAATTACCTCTGGTTTCCGCTGCAGGTGAATGTGAAACTCTGTATTTTAAAAGCACAATAAGAAGAATCGACGCTAACACGACGGAGTCCGCCGGGAAACACGTGTTTTGGTCGGAAACGTAACTTTATTGCGTGAAAGTGACGGAAACCCCGCAGCCAGCCGCGGACAGACAGCAGAGAACTCAGATCGTGTTTACTCGTTTGTTTCTTCGCGTCCCCGTGATTTCTCTGCTTCCGCTGTTTTGCATCTAAGTCCCGCCTCCTGCTCTGTGATTGGTCGAACCGGAGCCCCCTCGGGCCAGCTGATTGGTGGATTGTGGACGCAGTAAAGTGCGTAACACAGAGATGATTGGTTTCTTTTTTTATTTATTTTACTTCTAATCTTTGATTATATGAACCGAAAAAAATGCATAATGTTTATCATGGTAATATACTTCCTCCCCTGGTACTTCTAGTAGTTTTAAATTTGATTTTGTTTACTATTTTTAATATTTATACATGCAAAAATTCACCACTGCAAATTCCTTGAGTGTGTAAACCTCAACAAGGAGAACAAGGTGCTTTCATTATTTACTGGTCTGTTGTTTTATTAACATTTTCTTTTATTTTCTATGTAATATTGTTATTGTTATTATCCGCTCATCCATCCATCATCCATACTCATCTTTTAAAGAGTCATGCAGGTTGGAGTCAGTCTATCATTATTGCTATATTATCATTATTATTATCATTATTATTAGTGTTAGATACTACCCTCACCCGGTCACAGTGACATGAAGACACAACCTGCAATTACGAACTTCACAGACACTTTTAAAATGTAGATGAACACATGAATATCAACAAATATTTTAAACATTTTAGAGTGGTTAATGAATGAGAAGTGTGTTTATCATTTCTTCTGTCATAAAATAATCACAACCTTTGTCAAAGTTGCAATGACACCTCCAGACATTTGTTCCCTTTACATAGAAACTCAAAAGTTGCTTTAAGGTTTAATTTTGCTTCGGTCAAATCATTCTAATACCATTATTAAATAACAATTTACATATTTATTTTTAAAATCCACTACATTTCTACACTGATTTTTATCATCTTTTACATAAAGATCTTAATCTTACAGGTAAGGAGTAGAATTTTTTCTTAATTCAAGCTGTTTGTTTAGTGTTATATACTGTCCTGTTTTCTTCTTTTACAATTTAATTCTACAACTTGCTTAATTAGGTTCAATTAAAGTGCCTTAATTACACGCCTCAACTGCCGACTGCATCCTCATTAGGCGCGGACAAAAGAATATATTACTTGTTGGCTCACAGGGAGTGCCTGGAAGGAGGCCTGAGGAGCTGCAGGGCTTCCTCCATCACTGACGTCACATCACATCACTGACTGCTGCAGACGTGAGGGGTCAGAGGAGGCAGCATATGATCTGTGGAGGGTGTTTGTCAAGAGGTCGAGCTCTAATGAGAGGCGATGGTGTGAGGCGCTCTGATAGATTAATGCATTGTCTTGCGCAGGCCCTCTGGTTTGGCTGTTTGCATTTCATTACTTTTGGCCTTTCAGTTTCTTTTAACAAATTACTGATACATGTCCCATTACTATGCACAGGCACGGCTTCTTTGTATGTCCATTTATTCACAGCAGTAATAATTAAAGGACTGTGGCAAGTTTCAGGTCATATGAAGGTTGAAAAAGTAAAACCATGTAAAATGTGTATTTTTCCCTCCTTAAAATTATGATTTCAATGATAAAACAAAATCATGTTCAAGAAAAGTTATTTATTTCTAAGAAATGTACAGTATAGAAAATACCCAGTTCCATTTCCAAAATAATCTATGTCAGTCAGATAAGAACTTGTAAACGTCAATTAAAAATGCAAAGGTCTTTTTTTTCCAATACCACCATGCTACTGAGGTAAAAGACAACTGCTTAAAAAATAACATCAAGAAAAAAAAAAGGAACAGACACCACATTTATATTAAAACAAGTCCAAAAATGTACAAAAATTCTTAAAAGAGCAAATAAATATGATTCACATTTAATCACGTCTAAATGGTTTTCACTAGTGCAGAGGGATGACAGCAGGGTAATAAATGAAGAGTTGAACACACACTTCCAGTCGTCTGGTGTCGATTCTACACACCAGTAAAACACACACACACACACGCACGCACACACACGCCACATCTGTACGCCATAAGACAGTATCACAACCTCACAGATCTTTAAAAACAACAGCACGAGTGAACACACTACCTCCACAGAGGCCCCATCCGGTTCACTAAATGTTGAGACAATTCCCTATTTCAACAAAATAGCAAGTCATCTATGACAAGTCTTGTGTGACACATTTATAAAATTGTCTCACAGCTTCTAGCATTTTCATGTTCTGTCATTTTTCCTCAAACAATGCCTTATGTACATATTTCTACAGCCATTATACATCTGCCAACCAAAGTCTATCACAGACCCTAGATTGGAAAACAGCCTATTTGTCTAGTTTCAACATGTAGGCAAGAAGGCATGCAATCTGTACAACAATGTCCCACTTCAAATATTACGATGTAATATTGTCCATCATACTCCAACGATGACATTAGAACAACTGGGAGTAACAGGTCCCCAGTAGACAGTCTACACTGGCACCTGCACTCTGTGACAAACCGATAGCTGAAAGATCACAACAGCGTCTCGTTGATGCCAGATTTGTGCACAGCCATTGTAGTTTTCTTCTCAAGATGGAATGAAGTATTGTAAGGCCATTTCCTCATCAGTTCTCCAAGTCTAAAAACTACCAGAGTGAAGCTCAAGTTGGTCAGAAAACATTGACACACAGGAGTCTGGCAGAGCATGAAAGGAAGTAAAGGGAACTGTAAATGCCACTGACGGGCTGGATGAGGTAGATTCATTTGCTGCCATCGCTTAACTGCACAAGTAGGGGTCACACAGGTGCCACATTGATACAATAGGGTGTAGGGGAAAAAAAATAAACCAGTTATTAGAAACAACATATTTTGACAAAGGCCAAAATGAATTGTGTTGATAAATCAAATTTACAGGAATGTAGAAAAACAAATAAGATCAATTTCTCTTTCAATAAACTTCGATAAAAACAAAAACAGACTGGCAGTTTGAATTGCCAAATATTGTTCAGGACAATGAAGACAAACCCTTTAAAAAATCAAGTTCTTCACGTGAGGTGGACTAGTTTGCCACGATCCCAGCCTCATTTTCATTTTGCTGCTCCACTTACAAATAGTAATTCAGAAAAATACCCGTATATAGAAACTGTACACCCTGAGGATATGTTAAATCGAGAAAAGGAACCATGCAAAGCGAAGGGCTGTGAACAAACTCAAGCTACACATGTTTATAAGTGGAATGCAATAAAAACTCAAAACAGTGGGATTTGATGGGTCTGTGTTGGTTGCGTGTATGTGCATACACCAGCTGATGGGATAGATTTACCTTATCTGTAATATGAGGTTTGTCTCTACAGTAAAGGTGAATTAATATATATATATTTTCACACATATACACATTACCAGGCATTGACTAAAAATACAACTACCCAAGGCCTCTCATTTTCAGGAACTCTAGACCAACAGAAACCATGTAGTGCATAACAGAAACAGGTGTGGTCAGACAGAAATATCACCATCTCTGTCGCTCCCTCTCTTCTAAGTCAAAGACATTCTCATCAGTGAAGGCAGCTCTGAAAGATGCATATTCTGCGTTAACTCCATGAGCAGAGAAACACTGTTAAGAGTTGGGGGTGGAGATGGACAGTGACTGACTGGGCCCTTTCAGGACAGTTTTTATGCTTCAGACAGATGATCAGTGTTCGTGCTCTTTCACATGCAGCTACTGTGCCGTAACTTTCACATTCACTCATACATTCACAAAAGGGAACAAGGCAGTTAGCAAGGGGCCTGTGAGTCGACCAAGTCGGGGTGACAGTCTCATAGTACCTCCTTTTTCTACACCTGAGTTTTAAGATACAGTTGGAAGAGAAAATAGTAGTAAAAAAAATCCCTTTCCTTAGGATGATGGGTTCATTCAGTGAACAGGACGGGCAGGCTGGGTTCAGTGGCCTTTGATACATCCATATTCCAACTCCTCAAAGAGGAAAGGGCTTCTTGAAGGCAGCGTCTCCTGATTTTGGCAGGTTGGACTAGTGGTTAAAAAAGTTGCCCTTCTTCTGGAGGATTTGAGTTCAAAGGCTCGCGATGGAAACAGGACAGTCCTTGAGTGAATCTCTAACAGTTCCACAGAGCTGTTCAGTTCTTGACCACTGTGAGAGAGCTCTGTGTGGAGAGGAGCAGGGGAACTGTTCTCCAGGGCTAAATAACATTTCACATATTTTATCATCTTAGTCAAACCAGCTGCTTGGTCAGATATTCAAGTCCAATGGTGTGCAGAGCAGAGAAATCTGTTCAGTGTGAGAGAATCACTAAAAGATGTGTGTGAAGCAATGCCTCTCATCTATAGTCTCTGTCTGCCCAGTCAGCATTTATCTTCTTCCTTTTCTTCCTTCCTTGTCCAGATGTTCTTTGATACTGTCATGTCTGAAAGAAGAAGAATGACTTAAACAAATAGAATTTAGAACAAAAATAGAGCATATGTGTTAACAGCCTTTTGGCAGCCTTATCATGATTTTAGGAACAGTAACCTATTAGTTCCACTCACTCTGATCACATGGAACATGTCACACTCCCTTGTTTGGGCCACCTGGAGCAGCCATCATTTGTTGTCTGTAAACACAGAGGAAAAAAAATGTTGTTACCACTGTCATTAAAATGGAACGAAACGAAGTTTTTTCACTTCCAGCTCTATACTTGTATTCTCCAAAGAGGATCTAACTTTGCATAATTCACAGTTTAAAAGTTGTTGTGTGCTGCAGCCACTGAAATAAGTAATATTAGCTTAGACCTCAGTCCACTTTCTTCTGATTGGTCAAACAGCTGGAGGCCGGTCAAGGGGCATTGCATACAGCACCACTTTATCCCTTTATTAGTATGCAGTAGAACTGCAGTAGCAACTTCTAAAATCCATTTCTTCGTGACTGAGCCTGAATCAGATTCAGAATATAAAAGCATGAATATCTGCAGCAACAAAGATTACAACAGGACGTCCATCTTCTGGAATTTTTACATCCAAAACCGGCTTATTATGTGACATAACAGTGGATTTAGTTTTACAATCATTGTTACAAATATTGTGAATTTTATCAAAAGATAAATATACATTTCTAAGAATGGACAAAAGCAGAAAAGATATAGATATAGATACAGATATAGATGCTCAAAGAGATATAATAACATAAGGCTAAGAGAGCCACAGGAGAACATTTTTTTACCCTGGGTGTAGGAAGTGTTCTGGTGACAGGATTCTCTGCTGAATCATCATGCCCTGAAAGTGCCCTGCAGGCCGGGGATGTTGGTACATGGCCATGCGTGTCTGACCCGGTGAGTACGGAAGCTGCTGGGGGCGCTGCAGAGCCTCCATCAGGTGTGGGTGAGGTCTTTGGCCAGCATAGCGCCCTGGATCTGTGTACGACTGGCGAGGGTAAGGGCTTCCATTTCCAACTCCTCGGGCCTGAGCCATGAGATGTGGTGGAGGAACGCTACCATGCTGCATCCCAGGGTGCATGGTGCGAGGGTTGTACATGAAGCCAGGCGCCATGTGTGCAGTTGGCTGGGTGCTACGGTTGCGAGCAGCAGCATTATGGCTGTCAAGATCCAGGATTTCTTTCGGGCTGTCAGGTCGCTCTGAGCTCTCTGTACGAGCTGGACTGCCGCTGCTGCTGCCACCACTGGCCTGCGACCTTCTTTCACACTTTCCCTCCTCTGGGCCTCTGGGGTGAGGCCCTGCTTCAGGCACAGGGCCAGGGGAAACTAAACTTGAACCATTTGAGGCTTCAGAGCCCTGCGGCGATACACTGCTCTCCGTCTTTGACTGAGCGTTGCTTCTGGCACTGGCTACAGGTAGGTAGGCGTTAGGAGCCATTGGCTGGTGAGGCGGGTGAGGCTGATAAGGAGACCGATGCCACTCCTCTTGAGGATAGCCCCCTCTACTGTTGGCTTGGTTATGAGTCTGAGCTTGCGGATGGTGCTGGGGGTAGTAGTGTTGCTGCTGGTGCTGATGAGGTGGGTACATTATGGGGTGGGCCTGAGGCTGCTGTTGGCCTGGCATGTGGTAGGAGTAGGCAGCTCCTCCCTGCTGGTGGTAAGTGGGGTGTTGAGCGGGATTGTGGAGGGGGTTGATGGTCTGGTTGTGGTAAGGGTGGTGAGCAGATGGAGGCATGGACCTGGTCATGTTTGTCTGGCTGTAGTGTGGATGTGGAGGGTTCCCCATGCTGTATGGACCCATGGCTCCATTAACTTGGGAGTGAGGAGGCATGGCTGGATTGTGACCAGGTGAGAGCCCTCTCTGAGCCTGCATACCTGTGTTACTACTCAACAGCTGCGCTTGATGGTGACTGGGGCTGAAATCCTGGTGTTTATAAATAACATTTGGAGGCACGGATTTCATCACATTGTTCTGTGGAGTAACAGAACTACTTTCTGTGTCTGCTCTACTTGTCGGCTCACTGGGTCTTTGATTACCATGGTCTGCTGGGCTTGGCTGGGAGGGTAACAGTGGGCTAGGATGACTGGGCGGTAAAGATGTGAGAGGAGCTGGCTGAGGGGGTCCAGGCTGGGCTCCTTGTGTAGCACTCTGTGGCCTCCCATGCATGGGGCTGTTCTGTGTGGGACGTTGGGGAGAGATCTTTTGGTGGACTGGTTGTGGGGATAGCAGGGAATTGTGTTGCTGTGAATTCTGGGTCATCAGCTGGGGCGAAGTGGAAGGGGGGCATTGAGGAGGGGTACTCTGGGTGGCATGAGGCAGCTGCTGCTGTTTTTGGACGTTCTGCTGATGCTCACTTTGCTGGTGTGCATTTGGCATGCGTGATATTTGCTGAGTGGAATTCTGAGATGCTGATACTTGCAGTGGTGGTGCATTCTGGGGAAGACGTGCAGGGCTTGGTTTGTATTGCTGTGGACTATTCTGTGTTTGCTGAGAGGTGTTGGGTGAAGTGGGATCCATGGAGCTGATGTTACTTGAGTTGAGATGGGGGGAGACAGTAGGGGGTTGAGGAGGACAGTTGGTGGTAGACTGTCTGTGGCCATCTACCTTTTGCTTGTGACTCTCTGTTGATGTTGGCGGGAGCCCTGTTCCAGATGGATTATCTTGTAATCTGCCCAATTTAGGGAAATGGGGGATCTGCATTCCCTCTGCTGCCTCACTGTGGTGTCCTGAAGGACTAGGATTGGACGGGCGCTCTTGATTAATTGAAAAAGTGTTTTTGTGTGATGAAGATTCTTTAGAAATGTGGCTGACAGCCATTTTGTTCTCTGACATTGTGCCTGTTCACATACAGAAGGATGAAAAATGAGTTAGCACAAAAGAATAGCAAGGGGAGGTTAACATTTTTGATTGATAAACTATAATCACAAGAAATATGTGTCAAAGAACACAGATATTAAAAAAAGGAAACAACAGAGGTCTGTCATTTGATGTTACCTATCCAAATCCAAAAGGGAAAAAAATAGGAAATTGAAATTTGTTGCCATTCCATTCCTTTACTGAGAAGATGTAAGATTGCTAGAGATGCTTAACTAACAACCAGCAAGAGGTTTCACTACATTAATGAATATTAATTATGCCACTTACTTAGTAAAATCAAATTACAAAAAACATTTTAAGGGAAGGGATGGCCAGGACATGTTTCTGTGATGATTAACAAATTGAGAAACTACGACTAGAAGGAACATTTGTGCTGAAAAAGGTTAGAGTGTTAGAGGGTTCCTTCATGCAGAATGTAAAAAGCGAAATAATAAGAGAGGTCAGGTCTACCTTTGGGCTGCGTATCTGTCTGTTGAGGGAGCTGGTTGTCTGGCCCATTGTCTTTAGCAGGATGCAGCAGCTGAACCTCAGGGGCAGGGGGAGGCTGCTGAGTGGGGTGAGCTGGGATGCTGCCAATTCCTGATGGGGGCCCAGGCTGTTGAAAGTTGCCCATGTGCTGATGAGGGGTTCCAGCAGGGGGTCCAGAGGAGGCTGACAGCTGCTGCAGGGCCAGCATCTCTGGGCTTTCCAGCATGGAAGCCAAGCGTGTCCTGCCAGAGGAGTCTGGGTGGGCGACAGGGGGACGGGGTGACATGGGCCCATAGGAGCTGACCCCTGCAGACATTTGATACTGGGCATTGGGAGGAGGGTGGGGGTATCCTGCAGCTTCTGGCCATGGTTTATGCCCTACTGGAGGTGGGACTCCACCATAACCGAAGTTGCGCTGGTTCAACATGTTGGGGTCTTGTATGCGCATCCCATTGGGTCTCTCCTGGTGATTCATACCAGGCCACATGTGTGATAGACCCATCCCAGGTGGCCTCAAGCCTGGGTAGTTGTGCTGAGTTGGTCCACCTGGTCCTGAGAATCTGTTGCCCATGGGGTGCATGGTGTGGCTCTCTGGATGGTGGTGGGATGGGTACATGCTGGCTTCAGGAGGCGGTCCAGGCTGTAGGGCCACGGGACGTGGGCCCAGAGATGGGCCATGAGCTGGGCCCATGTAACGGTGCTGTTGCTGGTGGGGAGGTGGCTGCTGTTTAGGATCCGGGCCCATTGGATACCTCGGACCCATGTGATGTTCTCCTATCATGCGATGCTAAGAAAAAGAAAATTATAGTAAGGGCTTTTTGATCAGAATATCTATACATCAGTCTGTACACATTATAGGTTCAGTGAAAACTATAACACAAACAATGCTATTAATTCTGCATTATTGATCCTGGTTATTAGAAAAATATATGATATCCACATAAAGAAACATGCATTAACTGCATAAAAACACTTATAGCTACATATATTCAAACATACATGCATTACATGCAGTATTACAAAACTAAGACTACCAGTAAGAGTAATCAATACCTGCATGTTAAAGTCACTAGGAAAGCGGTTCAAGTTAGGGTCTCCGTGCCTGGAAAGATGAGCTGAGTAACTGAAGTGGGGATCCATAGCCATTCTCTGGGCATACATAGGTGGACCATGGTGACCAGGGGGCCCATGTGGATGACGGAGCTGGTAAGATGGAGAGAATTCTTAAGTCTTTACTTGTAGATTTCAGACAGAAATAAGATCAAGGTGCTTAAAATATGGTGAGAACAAGTGAGATATTAATTAAAACTTTAAAAAACAAAGTTGTGTTGTCAATACCTGTTGCCCTGGGTGGTACATGCCTCTCATGTCTCCTTCATGGATGCGTTGCTGGCTTGGAGGCAGGCTGTGGGGGTGAGGGCGGCCATTGGCCCAGTGAGGAGGAGGTGGTGGTCGCATCAGCTTGTTGTGCTCTTCCTCTGAAGGTGTGGTGCCTTTTCCCCCTTGTGAGTTACGCTTACGCTGGACGTGCTCAGTGGCCTTGATCAGACTCTCAGGCCCCAAACTTTTACTGCAACGGTTGCGCTTTTTGTCTTTGCGCTCCTTGTCTTCTCTACTGATGTGGAATTCTTCATCTGTGTCGCCGTCCTCTGATGGAAAATGTTTTAAAATGGCCCGACTGAAACACCGTTCAAGGGACTCTGCCATGATAGTGTACTCTGTAATCAGACAGGGATCAAAGTCAGGTAGGCTCATGATAACGCAAACAAAGGTTCTTTCACACAACCACATCTTCTACCCCCACATAAACACAGTCAATCATGTAAACTCAAATAATAATAGGTTTTCATTCACTTCCTCTTTTTCAAACATACACAACATCACTCCATCTTTTGGTCACTCTTAACCCTTATACTCAAGCGCTGCACAATAATATGCATGCCATGTATATACCCATAGACACACACTTGCTCCTCTGTTCTCAGCTCACACTGGCTGACTGACCAGGTCAGAGGGCGTCGGTTGACCCCTTCTCAATCAAACCCCTTCCTCCTCCTCCTGCTGCTCAATCTAGGCCCCCCTGCAAACTCCTCTACCCCCTGTCCCTGGGGAGAGCATTCAGTTGGATGGATGGCTCCAGACAGGGGGCTTAGGGCCTGGAATGTTTCTCTGGCACAGCAAGGCTCAGATCCCCCTGAGCACTGGAGCACAGCTCAATCACTCCCCATTAATCACTGTCAAGGCTGCCCTGGCCCCGGCCCCAAACCACCACTAGGTCCGGCCCCCTTTCTTTTGCTCTTTCTCCCACTCTCACCCCTGTTTCTCACCCCCATAAACACATATATGCACTTCTTCCTCACAACATACATCTACTGGGAATGATTTTTATACATTAGTCTCAGTTGAGACAACCTGTTAATATAAAGAACTGGATATTTGGAGTGGAGCTGATTTGTGTTCATTTACCACTGTCTTCTCCGTTGTACTCGATGCAGTTTTCAAACATGAGCTTCACGTCGGCAACAAACTCGTCCTTAGCAATGTACTCGCCATCATTGAGCTTTTTCTCAATAGTGGACAGGTCCATGGGAGTCTGAGGGGATAACAATAAGAGAACAACATTTAAAACTACATGCAGTGCAGTGTTAATATCTTAGTAAACCAAACATGAACTCAATGACACACAATAAGTGAAAACAATGACTGTAACTTCTACCTGTATGATCTCATGGTAATTGGGCGCGTAAGAGTCGTCCACAGGCTCCAAGAAAGGCCAAGCATCTTTATGGGACTTCAGCACATCAAGCACTGAAGACGAGAGATTAGATCAGTTCAGACATTACTGTGGATTGAGACTAAGAAATAGTCTCTAGTTAAGATTCTGTAAGCATACCTTTGTACAGGTCAGTGTAGTCGTCATCAATTTCATAGCTGTAATGTCAAACACAGGACATGTTACAAATAAGAATTATTGAGTAATTCCAGTAGAAAATGAAATCTAATGTCAGATGTACAAGGCCTCTTACAATTCTTTATTTTTGCGTGTTCTCAGGACAGGTGAAGAAGGCTCCAGATTCAGGAGTTCAGGTGGCAGGTCCTTTCCTTCAGACAGCAACCAGGCCCTGTCCTCTCGCATCTTCCGCCTTTTTGCTCTTTCTGAGAGAGAATGATGAACACGGGAGGCAATTAGAAGCACAAACAATAAAGAACACCAGTCTCGGGAGGCTTCAGACCAACAATGATTTAATTGCTTTTTCAGGCTTGTGAGTTACAGTTTAAATTGCACTTTGTGCCCATTGAGAATGTCAGGGGAGTCAATGAAAACCAGTTGTTCGCCATCAGAGGCAGCAGCAACTCATAAGCAGAGAGAGCAATTCATGAGCCATCTCTTCTTGGGCAGAGCTGATCAAAAGAGCAGAAGAGAAATGTATCACCGCTTTATCTTTTGACATGAAAGGCAGAGAGGCCTGCCAGCCCCCCTGCCGTGTGTATTAAAGATGTTTGAGGGTGGATTCCACATATGCAATACACACAGAGAGCAGGCCAGGTCCTGCTGTTCATCTATAATACATTAATGAGGCTCCTCCACTGAAGCACAATCAGCAGTTCATTAACCCTTGACAGATGACATCAGAGGGAGGGAGAAAAAGAGAAGTGATCCTGTGATTAAAGGCCCTGAACATTCCCTCTCACAGTCTCTGTGTACTATACATAAATCACAAGGTTCCCAGTGCCGCTATGCTACTGGAGATTTCTCAGCCGTTAAGAGCCAAACCAGCAGCAGTGTTAAAGCCTGTGCAAGGGTCGTCCTCCACGATTCATGCTGCCCTTGATCCCAGAGCTGGATGAGGAACATGAAAGACACCTACCTGCTGCTAACAGGTCGCTGATGAAAGAATATGAAATGACTGCTGCTCCTTGGTTTTTGACTTCTAGCACTTAGCTTAATTTTTGTTTTATAACCTTTATGCATTTACCACCAGTTTTCTTTAAGTATGATGCTGCTGCAGTATGATGTAGGTTCTTTCGCACAACTTTCCATTTGTGACCCATCTATCTGTGTATCCATCCATCTTACCCTCAACAGCTTTGATCTTCTCCATCTTCTCCCTCTGCCGTTCTTCCTGCAGTAGCCGCTCCTCTTCTCGTCGCTGTTCAGCCAGCAGGACCTGCCTGTCCAGCTCTTCATCTTTCCTCCTCTCTTCCTCTGAAACGCCCTTCAGACAGTCCTGAATACATAAACACAACACAAGCCTCTTACTCTACGCTGGACTCATCATGGGATAGCTTGTAATGATTAAGTGGAAGCTGAAACTTGAATATCTTTATAACAGTAGGAATGATGGACAGAAGCAACCCATACCCAAAATACTGCTAGGGGGTGAAACACCATGGGGAAGTCTTGCACTAGTTAACAACAGTACTTTCTGGAAAAATTTATTATTTTGTCTGTAAATAGATGTTTTCATTATGTCATTATGCTTCTGCAGTTGTAGTTTAAAAACATGTACACAGACAAACACACGCACCTCGTCCTCTGGCTGAATGTGTTTTTCAGACAAGCGCTGTGATGTGCGAACTGGATTAGGGTCCAGTAGTTTCTGTTTCAGTTCCCGTTCCTGAAGACAAAATAAAGAGAATAGATTAAGCTCTGCGAATTATACCTGTTCTACATTTTCCAGAGTCTTTCAAAGCAGCATGAGATTGTTCAGGTCAGACGCATTCACTACACAAAACTTTCCGGAACAGTCAGGTGAGAGGTGGTATCTGGGTAGAGCATGTAGGAGGCAGGTAGTAAAGTATACATTCCGCTGCAGTGTTTTGGTTTACAGCATATTCAAGATGGTAGAAGCTACTGACTCAGATGTTATGTTTACTTTGCTTTAACAATATTACAAGTTGACATCTTCGTCAAGGTTTTGCACCTCTTCTGACATATCTGTATTCTTCCAGTTTTACATCTGTCACATGTTTCCAACACCACTACTCCCTCACTGTGCATTTTCTGGAAATTCCCCAGCTTTCTCACATGGGCTCACTTATGAAATGATAGATTGTTTTTCAGAAAGCCAAGTAACAGCAGACAAGTAAAACCTTTGAGTGTAAAAGGTGATTTTGAATTACTGAAGTGTGTAAATGTGAATAAATTAGTCTTTTTTTTCAACTTCCTTTTTTATGTAATGTACGTGAAAATGCCTGTAAATTATGGTCAACAAATCACTGATTGAGCCTTCAAGACAGGTCAATCGACAAGCATCTCACATCAACTTCCCCTGGGGAGTTGTGGAGAAGCACTCAGTATTGAGAGGTCACTGCCTCTGCTCTCCCCTCCCCCAGTTACCCTCTTTACTCTGCTGCCTACGTTCCCCCACCTTTCCCTGGGGGGAAAAAGAGAAATCCAACCACGTATGTCCCCTGTGACTCTCCTAATCATTTGTAATGATTTGACGGCATAGTGTAAGGGCATGCTGTCCAGTCCGACAACTGCACTGCACACAGCCAATCATGGAACAATATGTTGAATTCCACAGGATGCATCCTGAAAATAATAAAGCCAGTAAATCCTCATTTGAGTCCACATCCATGACATATCAGTAATTCAGATGGAGCATGCAGTGAAGGAGGGAGACACCAGCCAACAGAGCTATAAGCGAATCCCTTGAAAGCCTGTCTATATCAGGGACTGGCCTCTGCAGCTCATGTCAGAGTTCATCAGGGAAGCAGGACTGTAAATAACCATTAGCCCAGAGCAGCTAACAGCACTGAGAGGTGTCACAGTCGGGCTTCTAGCCATCCAACTGTGGGAGGTCTAAAAATACATTAGCAGCTGTATGAAACGTGGCTATGTGTGCAGGTGAGTTGACGAACAATGAAGGAAGAATGATGTGGGCGGGGGAGGAAAGACAGAGGAAAAACATTTAAGTGAGAAACGAGAGGAGAAAAAAAATAAGACAGATGTTAGAGATGTGATCTATGCTACTCTCCACATCTCTTCTGCCCTGACACTATCTCTGCCTTTTCTTCCTCTGAAGCATGGGCAGATCCTGGGGTTCTACAATTCCTCTCTACATCCCCCATACCATCCAGCACATAAGAGATGGAGTGCCCCTGGTGTCACTACTGAGAGAGGTTGAAGAGCGAATCCTGCGGCACAGCAGAGCTGTCATTCAAGAGGCTCCATTCTGCCTCAAGGTGAGCTACCGCCTGCTTTCAGTGCCCCATGAAATGGCTGGTGACAGCAGCCCGAGATGTGTGAAAGAAAGGATTCAAGACTAAACACACACAGTGTATTGGACACAGTTGTACGCACACACCCACAAAGACAGATATATTTATGTGATTTATGCTATTAGAACCTTTTAGAATCGTTCAACAGGCAAAATACTGAACCTTTGCTGGTTCCAGCTTCTTTATAAACTGTGAAGCTGCTTTTCTTTTTTCTATACTATAGTACATTTTAAAATGTTTCCTTTTTGGAGCGTTGGTGACACAAAACAAACAGTTTGAAGACATGACTAATTTGACACAGATATTAGCAGGTATACACAGGTTACCATTGCCAGTAAAGGAATTTTTATCTCTGTCTTTTTTCCTGTTGCGTCATGATCACAGACAAATTAAAACATTCACCCGGGAGTCTTGTTATTTCAGTGTAATCTCCTGCTGCGTGACATCAGTGGAATTTATTTGCATATAAAAAGAACATTAGGGGAATGCTCTTCCCTTTTAATTGAGTCTTTGAGCGAAGTTAGATTAATCAGAGTTTTTTTCCTCTGCCCTGTGATCATGTTTGATAGAGACCATGTAGAGTGGGAAGAGCTGTCTTGTTCGGTTTTAAATAAATCTGTCTTTAGTGGAATCGCAACAGATCATAAACACAGAAGTCTGTGATGTTTCTGTGCTGACCACTGCTTCAATCACATCCAGTACTGAGAGAAGCTACAGACAGAGGGCCTTCTGAATGTCATATATAATGTTGAGTTGTACAGTCAGTGAAGGACAAGACCACATTCATCCATTTGTGTGACCATTTGTGTGAAAAGTGAGTGACCCTTCTGTCGCCAAACACAGCAAGCAGGATTCTTTACTTCACTGTTGATGATGATGATGGAGTAAGGCTGAAGGGGTTTCTATAGCAACAGTCAGTGCTGGTTATATATCACACAGGAGTGGAGGGAACCCACACATCTTAATACAAAAGGATGTATAAAAATCAAGGACCTGCTGTGGCTTTGAATAATTGTAGCATTCAATCACTGAAATAAATTATATTGCAAACCATTGAAATATTCTTAACTAAAAAAAAGATTGAGTAAATTGTGTCGGCTTGGAATCCTGCTCGTTATGAACAACATACAAAAAGTATGTCAACAATCTGCTCCGAAAGAACTTAATGCACATTCCAGGGAAGATAATGACAAATGAGAGTGGTATGGCCAAACTTGGACCATCATTCTACCAAGTTCTCCACTGTCTGTCTCATTTTCAAGGCCTGGGGCCAACATCATCGAAAAAGCCTGACCGCAGAATTAAGGGCAAGCTCAGACCAGCTTTCCTTCACTCCACCCGTCCTGCAGCCATCACAGGTAAGAATGCAGGATCCCCAAAACAGCTACAGGAAGACTGTTGACAGTGATCTGAAGCAGAACATACTAGAAGCAGCTAAATGGAGGCTCAACCTGTCAAGCTTGATTAACGTGGTTACTCATGAAGTAAAAGGTAGGCTGATAAAAATGAAAAATGGAAATTAAGGAGACCGTATGGACTGCTGTGATTGAGACTGATGGTTATGTCTTTTCCGTGTCTGACCTTGTGCTCTATCATGCTGCTGATCTCGGGCAGAAAGTTCTGGCTGATGACACGGTAGAGGTGGCGGTCCTGCGGGGAGGGTTTGTCCTTGATGCTCTCTGCCAGACTGACCCATTGTTCCTCTGTCTCACAAACAAGGGACCAAGTACCTCGCTTAATGCCTGGTGGAGGGAGACACATTGGCTTATTGATTCAAATGAAAAAAATTGTTTCCATGATTCCATGATGTTGTGCACATAAAATAAAAAAGCTTATAATGATGAGATCATCTCACTTTTTCTTAAGGGAGGATCCTCCAGTCCATCTTCTGTCTTGACTTCTGGCTCTTCTCTTTCTGCCTCACTGAAAAGAAAAACAGGGAAATAAATAGATTGTAAAGATTGCTACAAATAAAAAAATGATTAAAACAATATTAAATGCAATAGTCCTGCTGCAAGTGCAGCAGTCCTGTACTTTGTGAATGAAATAAAAGTGTATCCATGACTTTTAGGCTTTTACATTACATGTGTGGTCACCATATGTTTAGAGAAAATGTGCTCTAATAGTCATTCGCAGGTCATTCTGTACGGCGACTAATCAAGACCACAGAAAATGATCACACAAATCAGCAAAAATCGAATAGTCTATTTATCTGCAAGAACTTTTCAACGCCGACCACATTTTTTTGTTTAATATGATTGTACAAAGCCATGTTATATCTTATATCACTCATAGACCACATGAGAAAACAACCTGCCATGGCCTCTGCTCTAACAGTTCAATGCATGTATTCTTTTGACATGACCCGTACATCTGTTTAACACATGCACAACTACACGTCAGCATTTCTGCTCTTGATGACAGTTTCTCACCTTAGATTAGAGTTTCTCACCTTAGATTAGAGTCCTCAAACTTTCTTTTCTTTGGTGGTCTTCCCCTTTTCTTTTTCTCTGGTAGCACAAGTTCTGAGGGTTCACTATCGAAAAAGAAAAATAGGCCTTTTAACAGGGGTAATTAACAATGACATTTGACATAACATTTATAATTAACCTGTGAACAGGTTTCAAATGTGCTTGTCAAATGCAGAAAACATGAGCAGTGACATAACGTTTCCACTCTTGTTGTACAGGACAGATGAAGGTGATACACAGTACCCAGTGGTATTTACCTGATCCTATCAAATTTCCTCTTGACGGGCTCTTCTTTGTACATACGAGTGCCATAAAAATACCAGTAGAGGGCTCCATTGCCATCTTGCCCCAGTGGTTCCACCCTGAGGCTGTCTGCATCCAGGCCCTGAGGGACAGTGGGGGTGGGGACTTTACATTTTTTTATAAATCATGTGTAGGACTGTGTTTTTAAATCATCAGTGGGTGATGTAATTTAGTCCTTTTAGCCTACACAGCTGTAAACCACACACAGATAAAGCGCTTTCATTATCTCACTGAGTGCCTTTATTAATTGAATGTGATAAATTGGCTTTAAAAAATCTTATCTCATGACAAAGGCAAATATATGACAAGAAAACTATACTGACAGACAACACAGGGATAAAACTGTCATGTTACGATTAATCACAACTTTGTTAATGCTAGGACATACATTTATGAATATTGATTACAATACAGGAGGTTACCCTTGTTAGACTGCTTGTTTAAATTAATATAAAATGAAGAGGTATGGGTACTTCCCTGACCCATACCACATCCCTCCACCAACTTTAATGAAAATCCATTCCGCTGTTTTTGTGCAATCTTGCATACAGACTAATGCAGCCTCGATAGAGCTGTTGCAAAGCTCTAAATCCCAGTATCATTGCTGACAATTAAATGGCTTGGATTTCAATTGACAAAAATGGAGTTGTAATGAAAACAAAAATGGTCAGGTTCGTTTAGCTGATCCTTGTGAGTGTCGTACCTTCAGCAAGTCGAAGACATCAGCAGCATCCAGACGGTAATCACAGAGCCGGTGCAGCAGTTCCACCTGAGTGCGAGGGGGGAGATTCTCGAAGGGCCCCTCTCTAAGTGGGTTTGGTTTCCCCTCTTCCAGTTCCCACCGGTAGCTAATGATGTCGTCCAGGTAACTGCTGAACGCCTCAGGGCTGAGGAGCCGAGCAAAACAGCAGGAGAGATTGACAGAGTGAGAAAAGGCAGGTGCAACTTGTTTCACGACCACCAAAATGCACAACTTTAAACAAGATGGAATATTTTTAAAGCGGATGAAATATCTTTAAATAAAATAATTATTTTGCCCCACATGGCAACATAGAACATTTATTGAAACTAACTAACTGTATACCTTGCACTAAATATACCTGTCTCCTTGCACTGTGTACCCT